CGGAGCCGGGGATTCACAGCGGCACCGACGGGCAGCGCCCGAGGGTGCGGGTTAAATTGTGCGGCCAAATTGTGCGGCCAAATTACAGCCGAGGCCCAGCACCCATCCCCGCTTTTCTGGGGGTATTTCTCCCCGTTTTGGGGTTCCCCACCCCCGTTTCTGCAGTGCTCGCTGCCCTTCGGAGCCAGCCCCGTCACCGCCCGGCCTGCCCGTAGCGGCCTTACCCTAACGGGCGGCCCCTTCTCCTCCCATGGTTATTTTTTATTGTTATTTATAAACTATCGAAATATACCCGGAACCACTTTTTTGGGGAGAGGGGGTTAACGCAGCCCCTAACGGAGTCAATCCCCGCGCGCATTCGCTGCCGCAGGAAGGAGGAAGGGGCCCGGCCGCGGCCGCACGCACAGCATTGTCCCCCTGCTCCCGCAGAACAAACGCTGTCGCGACAGGGCACCTCGAGCCTCCAGCAGATATCGCGATTATTTCTATGCTTTATCTCCCACTTATGCCCTCGTTCTTTTTTGGATTTTGTTGTTGTTGTTGTTTTGGTTGATTGATTATTATTTTCTATTTAAATAAGGAGCTCCGCGGAGCAGAAAGCTGCCACCCATCTTTCTCGCTCCTTTGCCTCGGGTTATTTTTATTCCGTTTCTGATAAACTGAGTCGCGAGGAAAAACAAAAAGAACCAAAACCAAAAATCCAAAAAAACCAAAACCGAACACAACCAAAACAAAAAACCAATTGGGTTTTTTTGCCATATATCACTATCTCTCTGGAAAATAAAATAAAAATAACTACAACCACCCAACCTAAAGCACAAGTTCTGTGCCTTCCCTCCGGCCACCTTCCCGCCAGCCCTCTAGAAAGAAAAATCTAATTGCCTATTCCGATATTGTATAGGAAGAGATTACTCACATGTGTCATATTTAAGTAGGGACACCGCAAGTCTCTCCTGTTTCAACAAAAGCGCTCTCAGTGTCAGGCTGAATTTACTCCTCCCACCTCAAGGTACTTACGACTTTACAGAGAGGAAGGACACCCGCATCGGGATAAAACTGCTAAATCCTGGGAGGAAGAGAAGGGGGGGAGAAAAAAAAAAAAAAGAAAGGAGAGGGTGGATCTCGTGGGTCCGGTTTGCCGGAGATCAGTGGAGGGAGAAAGGTGCAGGGGAGAGGGAAGGAGGGGACAGCACCCCTGGGAGGCCCCTGGGAGAGGGGACAGCGGCCACCCCCGGGTCCCCCCCCGCCGCCGCCGCCTCGCACACGGGGCCACACCGAGCGACGGCCATGGCCTGGCGTGGAAAAATAAAAACAAACAGAGAAAAAAAAATAAAAAAGGCGTGAAAAAAAGCGCCCTATATTTGGGGCGAATTGGGCGGTTTTTTGGACACATTGCAAGCCCGGTCTTCCCGGGAGGAAATCACAGACGGGGCCGGACATCGGGGTTGTTTTTCTCCCGATGGGCTCGCACGAAGCGGCGGCGACGGCGGCGTTTCTCCCACGTCCGGCTGGAAAATTTAATTCCTAAAGGGGCAAATTAAATTCCTCAAGGGGCCGGTTACCGGCCGAGGAACCAACGGCGAGAGCTCACACCGGCGGAGTGAGCCCGCTCCCCGCCGCCCGGCCACAGGAAGGTGAGGCCGGCTCTCCCCGCCAACGAAATCACCAAAAATTAGGTTTTCCCCTACGTAAAAAATGAATAATCCCGATGCCGTCTGTTCCCGCATTTATTAAAAATCGAAATACGCAAAACCGCAAATATATCAGCAGAATTTTGCCTTAAATTGGGATGGTTTCGTTTAGAAAAAAATGGAGGGGGGGCATTAAATCCCCGCCCGCTAGTTTCTGCTTCGCAAAATCCTTTTGTTTTCCAGCAGCCGATCGGCAGGAAATTTCCAACCCTAAAGCGCACCTCTCCCGCAGTCCCTTTGTAGGGAAATCGCCCCAAAACGAAGGGGCGGCAGGGAGCGGGGTATGGGGGTTCCGGGGAGCAGCGCTCAGGTTGTGGCCGTGGGCCGGGCCGTGTCCCGCTCTCTGTCCCTGGGGAGGGCAGGGGGAGCCGGGCCCGGGGGTCGCTTCGCCCCCAGCGCCCCCAGCCCGTCCCTCGCTGCCGCAGCCCCGGCGCCCTGGGGCGGCCGCACCCCGCGATTTCAAAGGGGAAAGCGTATTCCTCTCCTCACCGACCCCGCATCAAAGAATAAAACAGATTAAAACCCAACCGCGGAAGAGATTTTGTGTTTTTTTCTCGTCTCTCATGTGGGGCAGAAGCCCCCAAAAGCTCCCTCGCTGCCCTCCGGAGCCCCCCAAATCCGCATTCCGCCGCCCCCAGCGCCCAGACTCGTGCGGAGCCGATTCCTCTTTACTCACCATTTGCTTTTCATTGGGAAAAGTGAGTGGAGCCATTTTGTGGCCTACGCATCGCGGCTATATTTGTAGTAAGTGTTGGGTGGCTTCAGCTGGGTAGGCTCTAATTCCACATCACGTCCAGTTTCCTATTTAGTATGGAGAGCGGAACACTACTGCAATGTGGCCGAGAGAGATAAAACCCCAGCAGTGGCCCGCCTGCCCTGATAAGCTTCTAAACCCATTATTTATGAAATGATTCATTATTATTTGGCAATTTTATCGAAGGAAAGCGGAAAATTATTGCAGGGATATGCATAGGAATAACTCCGGAATGCATGCCTTCTAGCTTTTTATGTGTGTGTGCTTAGATGCTCTTAAAAAGACACTAAAAAAAAAAAAAAAAAAAAAAAAAAAAATAAAAAATTGCACTGTGGCTGCCCGCATCTGAATAGCGATTCTTTATTTTAGTCCTCTTGGAGGTTATTATGCCTCTAGTTTGTTTTTTTTTTTTCACCTTTTTTTGCTGCTTTTTTTTTTTTGTTATTATTATTAAATATGGAACACCTACTCCGTTCTTAATTAAATTTAATGAGCCAAAATAAATTGTTAGAGATGTTGAGAGAGGGGGAAAGGGTGTGGGCTGCTTTGGGACAAGAGGAGGTAAATAAAGCACATCGAAAGGAGATGTTTTGGAGAAAACCGGCCCCAATCCCCAGCCTTCCCCCCCAGTATTGTGTATTTTTGCTGAAGGGCTGAACTGGGGTGAGCTCCCTGTCTCGCCTCCCGTTCTGGGGTGGGAGGAGGCCGAGCATCCCTGCCGAGCTGGGGGATGCTGGGCACCGTGAGAGGAGCGGGTACTGAGCCGGCACCTCGAGAAATTCGGGGTGTTATTGGCGTACCCTGGAGGAGAGGGCCTTGGGGAAGGGAGAAAAGAGCCCTGGCTTGCCCCGCAGCAGTGCAGGGATCCAGCGGGGCTGGGGATGGGCTGCGGAGGCCGGAGCTCGGGGCCGGCTGCGCGCCCCGTCGGGGCAGGGGCTCAGCCAGGCCCGGAGAGCTCCGGGCCCGGGCGGACACGGACCTCCGGCTTGGGCAGGGACCCCCGGCCTGGGCAGGGGAAAGGGGGAGACCCCCGGGACCCCCGGCCTGGGCAGGGACCCCTGGGCTGGACACGG